AACCCTAAACCCTAAACCCTAAACCCTAAACCCTAAACCCTAAACCCTTTTTAATAACAAAGTTTGCTAGCGCCGACATAAGAACATGCGAAGCCCCGTTGCTGGGTGTGCTCTCAGCCCCAAACCCTAAACCCTAAACCCTAAACCCTAAACCCTAAACCCTAAACCCTAAACCCTAATATTTATTGTAAAAATAAGGATTTATAAATTAAAACATTTTCTTTTTTTTTTAATTTTATTTTTTCATTGTATCTGGCGATGCATGCATGCAATGGATGGGCCGACAGAAAAAGGAGAATAACTCTTACACCAATAGAAATAAACATATTTATATATTTATTTATTTATTTATTTATTTATTTTAAATAAATTATTTTTATTTATTTAGAGATGAATAAAACAAAAGAAAACCCTAAACCCTCCCCCTCTCCCGTTCCTGTTACTATCATCACGGGGCTGCTAGGCGCAGGCAAAACAACGCTGCTGCGGCAGCTGCTGCATGCAGCAGCAGCAGCAGGCCTTCGTTTGCTGCTAATACAAAATGAATTTTCAGAACAAATGGGCATAGAAGCCCCCACACTCATAGACGCCACGCAGCAGAAGCAGCAGCAGCAGCAGCAGCAGCGACAGCAGCAGCAGCAGCAGCAGCAGCAGCAGCAGCAGCAGCAAGAAGAGCGTGGATCTGTGTTATTATCTTCTGGTGGTGTATCATCTCCTTTAATAGATTTAATAGAGCTTCCTGGTGGTTGTTTATGCTGCTCTGTACGCAGCGAGTTGCTGCTGGCGCTGCAGCAGCTGCTGCAGCAGCTCAATGGGTGTATAGATGCTATATGTATAGAAACAAACGGCGCAGCAGACCCCCAGCCTATATGTGAAGCTTTGTGGGCCGATGAAGATATACAGGGACAGGTTAAGCTCGATGCTGTTGTCTGTTTAGTTGATGCTGCAAGACCCCATACAGCACTAGCAACACCCCCTGCTGCTGCTCCTGCTGCTGCTGCTGCTGCTGCTGCTGCTGAGGGTGCTGCTGAAGTAGGAGCAGCAGAAGAAGCGGTGGTTGCAGCAGAAACAGGAACTGCAGCAGGAGCAACAGGAGCAGACACAGCAGCAGCAGCAGCAGCAACAGCAGCAGCAGCAGCAGAACCAGCAGCAGCAGCAGCAGCAGCAGCAGCAGCAGCAAGAGAAGGTTTATCTCTTGAGACACACGGAGGTCTTGGTCTCGTTGCCCTGAAGCAGATTGCATGCGCAGATTGTTTGCTGCTGACGAAGACAGACATCTGCTGCCAGCAGCAGCTGCAGCAGCTGCAGCAGCAACTCTCTCGCCTCAATCCTGCTGCTGCGCTGCACTGCTGCAGCAACGGCAATGTACCCCTCTCAGCAGTTCTCGGCCTCAGAGCCTATGACAGCAGCAGCAGCTGCAGCAGCAGCAGCAGCAGCAGCAGCAGCAGCAACGGGTGCAGCAGCAGTGGCAGCAATTGGTTGAGGGGTGCTTTAACACCGGAGGCTGCTGCAGCCTCAGCAGCAGCAGAGTGCCTCCATCAGCAGCAACAGCAGCAGCAGCAACAGCAGCAGCAGCAGCAGCAGCATGCATGCGCAGCTAAAGGGTCTTCCTGCTGCAGCAGCAGCAGCAGCTTGGGGGGTTTATGTAGTGTTAGGGTTTCGTTTCCTTTAGGAGGTAAAAACAAAGAAAAACCAACATTGTTTTCGCTGCAGCTCTTGGAGAGAGCAATAGGAGAGCTGCTGTGGGGCGAAGCAGCAGCAGCAGCAGCAGCAGCAGCAGCAGCAACAGCAGCAGCAGCAGCAGCAGCAGAAACGAAAGAAATAAAAACAACACACCCAAGTGCTATCTTCCGCTGCAAAGGGCTCTTCTATGCATGGACAGACAACACAGACAAAGACGCAGCAAACACAGGTGAGCAGCAGCAGCAGCAGCAGCAGCAGCACCAGCAGCAGCAGTAGCAGCACCAGTAGCAGCAGTAGCAGGACAGAAGCAGCAGCAATAGCAAGCCAGCAGCAACAGCAGCAACAGATGCAGCACAGTTAGCATCAGCAGCAAGTAGGGCTAAATGATGTATAGATATTACAAATGTAGCAGCAGCAGCAGCAGCAGCAGCAGCGGCAGCAGCAGCAGCAGCAGCAGCGGCAGCAGCAGCAGCAGCAGCAGCGGCAGCAGCAGCAGCAGCAGCAGCGGCAGCAGCAGCAGCAACAGTGTTTGTGCATGCGTTGCAGGTGATTGGTGGGTTTATGAGCTGCAGGGTGTAGGCAGCACGTTTGAATTGCGGCGGGTTGAGGGTACATCTGCTGCTGCTGCTGCTGCTGCTGCTGCACTTGCTGCTGATGGTAGCGGTGCAGCAGAAGGGAGATTTCTGTTTGTTGGAATGAATATAAATAAAGAAATAATTAAACAAAAAATATATGCATGCATACAAACAAAAGAAACACAACACATATAGTTTTCTAGTATCTGCTGCCTCTCTGCCAGCAGCAGCAGCAGCAGCAGCAGCAACAGCAGCAGCAGTGTGGTTGCAGCAACAGTACCAACAGCAACACCAGCAGCAGCAGGGCAGCAAGGCAGCAGCAGCAGCAGCAGCAGCAGCAGCAACAGGTAGCAATAGGATTGTTTGTGCTTATCATCTGCAATTTGTATTTATTTTTTTGTGTTGAAATATATTTATATTTTATTGTTGCTGCCACCTGCAGCGGTTGCTGTTGAGCTGCCTATACACCGCAGCTAGGGCCCCCCGTAGCTGCAGACAGCTCATGGGGGCCCCCCTTTTTGTTTTTTGTATAGACGCAGGCCGTTGCATATAAAGTCTATAGAGTTGTTGCTGGTGTTGCAGTTGGGGGGTAAGGTAGATAAGAGGGTTATTAGGGTTTAGGATTAGGGTTTAGGGTTTAGGGCTAGGGTTTAGGGTTTGAAGGCAGCATGCATATACACCTCAGTGCATGCATAGAATGGGGCTTGGATATTGTTAGTATTGTTGTATCCTCTTTGCGAGAAAAATGCTGCAGAAAGTGCTGCAACTTATTGAGAGAGAGAGACATACAGATGGAGACAGAGAGAGACAAATAGAGAGAGAGAAAGAGGGAGAGAGAGACAAGAAAGACAGACAGAGAAAGAGAGACAAACGCAGAGAGATAAGTTGAGAGAGAGAGAGAGAAATGCAGATATGCAGGAAGAGGTTTACATAGATGCATGCTGTCACAAAAAAAAACAAGAGACAGAGAAACAGAGAGAAATACAAACAGAGGGAAAGAGAAACTGAGAGAAGCTGTGTTTCTCTCTCCACCACATTCAGGTTTCTGGTTTATGTTTGGATGCAGGGGTGGGGGGGGGGGGGGGGNGGGGGGGGAGAGCATCTGCCTCTGCTTGGGGGCGTATATATATCTTCTATGGCGCTTTTATATGAACGCTGCGGCTCTGCTGCAGCTAACAACTGACTCAGGCTACAGCTTTCTTTGTCCGCGTTTCAACCCCCCGCGTAACAAGCCCCCAGGAGGCTCATGGATTGAAGCATAATATATTAATGCCAGGGTTTAGGGTTTAGGGTTTAGGGTTTAGGGTTGTGAGGCAGAGTGGTGCAGTGGAGCTCTCTAGTTCACAGATGAGGGAGCTACTGTAGGTTTAGGGTTTATGGTCTAGGGTTTAGGGTTTAGGGTTTAGGGTTTGGTGGTTTTGTGAAAATTATGAAATTCAAGCTATCATGGATTCACTCTAGCAATGAAGAATTATGTTTTATTAAATACATAATTTGCTTCTGAGGTGCTAAGCAGAGCGACATAAACAACAACGACCCCCAGCAGCCGCCACCAACCCCGCACGCAGTACCACCCTGACGAAGAGCAGCAGCACAGGAGAAAGGGGTGCATTTGATCTGTCTATATTATGTTATTTTCTGATTTTGATTGTTAAAAAAAACGCGAATATTATTTACTTTACACTCCTGAACGGCAGGTGAGTGGAAACCAGCTGCTGTGCAACTTCGCCGATGCTCGCCGCTGCGAGTTCTGTTGCGCCGATCTGCAAGGATTTTGACGCTAACTCTGAGAATTTTATGGATAATTGTTAATATTTTGTTCTTTACTTTTGTTTTCTGTCCAAGTTTTCGGCAAAGAGGGGCGGCAACGGTGAAGATCGGCCACTGACTTACCCTGGACGCGCGGTGTCTGTGAGCTCGACTTGGTAGTGTGAACGGGTTTCTGAATTTTGTTGAATCACTAAATTTAAAAGTTTCCACCAATGGCAATTGCTTGGAAAGACGCACAGGAGGTATTGGAGGCTGCCTCCGACCCCCAGAAGCTGACGGAAATAGCTGAAAAGCTCTCTACAGAAGAGGAGAAAGCGTATTCAAGAAGTTTAATAGAAAGCGAAAAAGATGAACCTCTACTCAAGCCAAACCCAAGACGATGGGTAAGAACATCTCAGGCGTTTTCAGCAGCTTGTTTGTGCTTCGCTCTGCAGGAGGATGCAGGCGTTGGCGTGATAAAGCATATTGTTTTGAATTTTATGAATTTTTATGTGTTTTATGCGTAAAACTTCATTGAAAATTCAGTTTATTTGGTTGTTTTCTGTGTTTTTTGTGCGCGGTTTCACAGGTGGTTCTGCCTATTCAATATGCAAAAGTATGGGATATGTATAAGAAAGCAGAAGCTTCCTTTTGGACTGCAGAAGAAATAGATATGCATGCAGACCTCACAGACTGGGCTCGTCTCGATGAAAAAGAACAACATTTTATTAAACATGTTTTAGCTTTCTTTGCTGCTAGGTAAGCCTGGAACGCATGCATATTCAAAAACAAGAAAAACAGACAAAATGCACTTGTTGAACTTTCGGCTGACGCGTAGAAGTGTCTTGTTTTTAGTTGTTTTCAGTTGCTTTATACTTTTGTGTTCTCATTACAGTATTACTTATATATATATATATATATATATATATATATATATTGTATCGTACAACATTACTATTCTTATACTGCAGCATTCTTGCATGCATAGTGCAGCTTTATTATACTCATAATACGGCAGTCTTATACGTGTAATATATGCGTAGTGTAGCATTGC